GTCCTAAGCTGCCCCCTGCCAGGTCTGGGCACAAAGCCAGAGTGCCAACTGTGGCAGGCACGGGTCCTGCCCTGCGGCTTGGGGACAAGGACGCCAGGGCGTCAGGGTGCCACCCACCCACCCAGTGTGGTGCCGTGGGAGTGAGGCGGGACAGACCTGAGACGTCCAAGTTCCCCGGGGCTACACGGCCTGCTTTCCCATCCCTTGTCACCCCATGTCCCCCAGTCCCGGGCCCTGCCCCTGCCCCAGGACAGGCAGCGCAGCACGGCGTCGCCAAGGGGAGAACGTGTCTGCGGGCCACTGGGGTCATGTGCACAGCTAGGTCACTGCCTTCCCTGCCGCCCCTGGGAAACTGAGGCCTGTGCTGAGCAGACCTCCTAGAGACTTTGAGGATCTGGGAGGGGTGGGCCAGCCTGGGCCCATAGTAAGTCTGGTACTTTTTTTCATATAGTTTTTATTTTATGTACATTGCTGTGCTGCCTACACGCGTGTCTGTGCGACAGTGTCAGATCCCCTGGAAATGGAGTTACAGACAGGCATGAGCTGCTTGTGGGTGCTGGGAATTGAACCCGGGTCCTCTGGTAGAGCAGCCCGTGCTCCTTACCACTGAGCATCTCTCCAGCCTCAAGTTTGGTATTTTTGAGACGGGTTTTCACTCTGTAGCCCAAGGTGGCTCTATCTCCAGGGCTTTCCAGCCTCTGCCCTGGGGCCAGCGGGACAGGTGGGGTGTTTGCTGATTGATTTTCTTCAGAAGTTTCAATATTCCTTAGGGATGCAGCTCTGGCTCTTTGGAGCCCAATGACCTGAGTGACACAATCTGTGCTTCAGCGACCCCTCCCCTAAAGATGGTAAAGACTGGACCAGTGAGGGGCTGGGGGCGTGGTCAGGGTGTGGAGCCCCGCCTAGAATCCACAGTGAGGGGTCTGGGGGTGTGGTTAGGGTGGAGCCCCGCCTAGAATCCCCAGTGAGGGGGCTGGGGGCGTGGTCAGGGTGTGGAGCCCCGCCTGGAATCCCCCAGTGAGGGTCTGGGGGCGTGGTCAGGGTGGGGAGCCCCGCCTAGAGTACCCAGTGAGGGGCTGGGGGCGTGGTCAGAATGTGGAGCCCCGCCTAGAATCCCCAGTGAGGGGCTGGGGGCGTGGTCAGGGTATGGAGCCCCGCCTAGAATCTCCAGTGAGGGGCTGGGGGCGTGGTCAGGGTGAAGAGCCCCGCTTAGAATCCCCAGTGAGGGGCTGGGGGCGTGGTCAGGGTGAGCAGCCCCGCCTAGAACCCCCAGTGAGGGGGCTGGGGGCGTGGTCAGGGTGAGCAGCCCCGCCTAGAACCCCCAGTGAGGGGGCTGGGGGCGTGGTCAGGGTGAGCAGCCCCGCCTAGAACCCCCAGTGAGGGGGCTGGGGGCGTGGTCAGGGTGGAGCCCCGCCTAGAGTCCCCCATGAGGAAGGGGTGAGGCCTTTCTGGCCAAAGCTCCCAATATGGGCAGCATGGCGCCCCCTGCTGGCACCTGATGCGCCCACACTGCTGCTCCGGGTCCCGCCGGGGCTGCCACCCTGTCGCCGTGGCTGTTGGCGGGAAGCGAGTCTGGCCATGACAAGCACATGGGCACCATCTGGGCTGGCAGCTGCCGGCCTGGGCGGGCCTGGCACCCCTCCCCCCCTGGCACTGTGCCTGCCCGCGCTTCGGGTTTCGCGGGCTGCCAGTGGGGGGGCAGGGCGGCGGGCTGGCAGCCGCCTCTCTTTGGCCCAGCTTTCCCAGACTCCTTCCCGAAAAGCAGGCCAAGCCTGGGAGCCTGGACCATTCTGCCCGCCACTGGCCTCCCCCACTCCCAAGCTCCTCTAGGCTGGCTCCTCTGTCTTCTGGGCTCCTGTGACCCCGGCATCTCTGCACTCCCTGACCACCCAGTTCACCCACCCCAGCCTGGCAGGCTGTACTCAGACTTTCTCGGGCTCCCCACTTCTTCCTTTGAGACAAGGTCAGCCTTGAACTTAGTATGCAGCAGAGGCTAGCCCTGAACTCCAGGGTTCTGAGGACAGAACCCAGGGCCAGCCTTGGCCCCTCACTAACTTAAAAGTGTTGCACTCTCACATGGGGGCGTGGTCAGGGTGGAGCCCCGCCTAGAATGTCATACCCCAACACTGGTCTTGTGCCCTCCAGGAGGGCAACCCAAGCTCTGCCATAGTGTTTAGCATCACAGGTGAACAGAGCCTCCCCACGGCCCTGGGGATGCATAGGGCAGGAGGGGCAACCCCCCAACACACACATACACCGCTGCTGGCTCAGAAGCCAGATGAGCCAAGCCCAGCCTGAGGAACTGGGGGACTCTCAGGGTCCTCACAGAGGAGTAGAGAGATGTCAGGATGACCTCTCCAGCTCCAGTGCCCCGGGGCATGGGTGGCCCAGGCTGTCTAGGAGAGGGTAGGTCCCAGTTTTGACTCTCTGAGTCTTTTCCTGTCTCACTGGCTTCTGCCTCACTGGCTGGGTGTGGTGGCCCAGGTGGAAGCTGAGACTGGGGACCTGGGCTGGGCTACAGAGCAACCAAAGGCCTCCAAAACTGTCTGATGGAGGGAGCATGCAGCTGGGAATTAGGGTTCTGTTTTGTTTTGTTGGTTTTTCAAGACAGGGTTTCTCTGTAGCTTTGGAGGCTGTCCTGGAACTCACTCTGTAGACCAGGCTGGTCTCGAACTCACAGAGATCCGCCTGCCTCTGCCTCCGGAGTGCTGGGATTAAAGGCTGCGCCAACGCCTGTCTAGGAGTTAGGGTTTGAAATATGCTCAGGAGTTTCAGTTAGAGGAGAGCATTCTGGGAAAATGGAGCAGAATGGGCAAATGCAGGTGTGTGGCAGTGATGGTGGCCCTGGCCTGGGCTGCTGCACCCTGGTCTCACCCTGGTTTTGTTCTTTGTTTTTTTATTTTGAGGGATTCCTGGTGACTCCCTTGGGACCTATTTTATAGATAAATTAAGTACAAAGAGGATGATGGACATGCCTGGGTCGCACAGCCAACTGGCAACCAGCTTCTAGGGATGCAGGTGGCTGACCAGGGTGACTACTGAGAAGGCATCTCAGGGAGGCCTGGAGGCCCCGCCTTCCACTGAGCAGAGGAGGAGGGTGGGGGAGAGGAGGCTCGGGAAATTGTGCTGACACAGCAGAAAGCACCTTTGAAAATTTTATAACTCAGCTCCAAGGAGGCAGGGGAGAGACTGGGACCCCCCAGGCAGCACTCTGCCCCTGCCCATGGTCATCTCAACACACAGCCTGTGACCCACTGTCCCACGCAGCTGGGGCTGACAGGAGATGGGGACGGGACTGGGGCAGAAGCTGAGGCCACTGCAGCCAGACTCAAGGTCAAGGCAGGGAGAGGCCTAGCTACCTCCACTCTGTGTGATATTGGTGGCCGCCAACTGAAGAGGGGAAACTGAGGTACAGGGTTTCATCCCAGCATCCATATACCCAAAGAGTCTGGGATGTCATGGTGGACGTTCCACCCAAGCCCACTCCCCTATCTCTCTCCAAACCCTGCTGCATCTCAGAAAGCCCGTCAAATATGACGCCTCCCCCAGAGATGCTCAGGACCACTCCCACAGGGTATGTAAACTGTCCCCCAGAAAATAGTCTTGTGGTTTTCCTGTCTCTTTTTCCCGTCTCCTCTATGGGGGACTGGAAGGCCATCTGGGAGCATTGTATCCATTAAATGTGGCCTTTTCTAATTTGGTCTGATTTGGTCTGATTTTTTGCTGCATCTGCAGAGAGAGAGGCTTATCAGGATGCAGAAACTTTTCACAGAGAAGCAGTAGATCCACCCAGCTGGGAGCGGCCCATCGGGCCCAGGGCTATCTTCTCTGTCACACAGATGGGTTATCAAGGGTGCCTGGGACAACCCTGCCCCGGTGAATTCTAAGACCCTGGTGGGCAGATGACGTGGGTGCCTGCCACAGCTGACTCTCAGGCAGAACAAGAGCCTCTGTCCACCTCACAGCCATCCCCCTGCCTCTGCCACCTGCTTCCCACAGGACCTCCCTAGGGCGCCTACTTGAACACCTCAAACTCAGCCACGGTTGTCCCCGCCCATGTGCAAGGCACCTCCCACTCAGCAGCAGCCGGAAGTAGGCAGGGCCATGGATGTCTCTGCCCATCCCAACTTGAGTCCTTCCAACTCCTAGTCAAAGTAGACCTGAGTGAGGACTGGCCCCGCCCACAGCCCCACCCACTCCCCAGCTCAGGGTCAGAGTTGTCCAGGTCATACTCCCTGTCTCAGGTCTGTGTACACCATGCTCACAACTCAGCACTTCCTTGGCGCCTGGTCAGGTGGAAGCTAACCCTCTGACGGCTCTGTACACGTGACCCTGGCCCACCTCTCCCAGGCCTGAGCCGGGTTCTGCTCACCGGGCATGAAGTAGGACACGGGTGCTGACCCTTAATGGCCCTGACTGTGGCTCCCATAGTCACCAAACCCTGGCCCTGCAGCCCCAAGGCCTTGCCCCAGTCCATGGCCCCACCCCTTGATCGTGACCATGGGCCAGCTCCTAACCACGTCCCTAAACATGACCTTGCCCGGGACAATGATCCTGAACCTCACCATGACCCTGGCCACACCATGGCTCAGCTCCTAACTGCAACCATGACCACTGCGATGTCCCTGACAACGATCCTGACCGCACCACGGCCCAGCTCTTAACTATGACTCTGGCCCGGCAATGAATGATTCTGTTTGGGACGATGACCACAGCCAAGGTCCCATTCCTGTGGACCATCGCTGTGGCCCAGCTCTTGACTATGACCCTGAACATGGATGGACCAGCTCCTTTCACCCTGACACCTTGACCACGCCCCTGACCACACCCACAATATTGGCTCCACCCTGTCCATGGCCTCTCCCCCCACCGTGACCAGGCCTGGACCACTCCTTACCAGGCCATACTTCTTTGGCCACACCCCATCACTGCTGCCCCAGTGACCACAGCCCAGCCCTGCTGCTGCCCCACCCCTGCCCCGCAAGTGCCCCTGCACTTACCACGCTCACGCACGAAGTATGCCAGGTACAGGTCCAGCTCCTTGACGGCCACGCCGATGTGGTGCGGCTGCACGCACAGTATGGGGTGCGCGCACGCGGCCGCCTT